CTAATAGAGTGTTATACATACAGTGAGTACTCCTATGGTGGTAGATGTTATAGCTAGAGCTACCTCTTTTCCACACAGATAATGTTTATAATTTTGCAGAAAGCAGAAGGATCAACTATTGAAAACGAGCCAAGACTATTAGGAAATAGTAAACCTGGTTGTTATTCTTGTCACTATATGGCTTTTGTGGCTTCTCATTCCTTCTTCCCGACGTGATCCATGCCATAGAGCACTATCTTAGAAGTATTGGTCAAAGGGGGTGGGACGGAGCAGAGAAAGCCAACTGTGCTTTGTTTGGCAATAGATTCGCACATGTTGAAGAAAAGGAGCGTTATTTAAGGTCTGGCATTATTACGTTTTCACCACTAGCCAAATGGAGGGACCTGTAATCCCTCCCGTTCATTCAAAACTTGTGTAGTTAGATGTTTGGTGCTGTGGTAGGCAGAGGTGGGTCAATACAAAAAGATAGTATAAAATAGTGCTTTCCTTAGTCTTCCAGGCAGTAATGTAAATTATACAGAAGTGGTCCCATCCAGGGAGGGAGGCAGAACTATTAGTTGTACCTGACTTATTTATGGTCTGATAATCCATAACTGAGGGTGTTTGATGTCATAGTTAGAGTGGGAAGGGACCTTAGAGGTCGTCTGATGTCTTTATACAAATAAAAAGAAGCAACATGACTTGTCTAGGGTAGTGGCCTACCCTGAGCTCTAGGACATTTGTTCTTTCCTCAGTCACATGTCTGGGGAGGGGAGAGGAGATTTAGGTGGAGGCTGTATAACCCATTTTCCCCCTCAGTTCTCCAGAGATTTAACTTTTTCAAACTTAAATTGAACAGGCATTTAAGTTTCAGTTCCTAGGCAGAGGGGATATTTCACTGAATCTGTAATCTCATTGACGCTCCCTCCCCACCCCCCATGTCCTTCTGACAGTCAGAGGAATGTTTTAGTCAGAAGGCTGAGGAGCAGAGACAGAGGAAGAAGTCAGCTTTAGGGGAGGGAAATGAATGGTTATTAGGATTCTTGTAGGAGATGAAGAGGGAATACTTTCTGGGCATGGAACACTGCTTGTACCAATGCACAGAGGTAAGAGATGGAATACCAAATTTGGGGAATAGCTGTGTGCCAGCCAAACTGGAACTACTTGAGGCAGAATTAATGTGAAATAAGGCTAACGTGGAGCCAGATCGTAACCCTAAATACCAGGCTGTAGAGTTTGTGATAGACTGTATGGAGCTTTACCTGAAATTAAAGGGTAAAACAACATATAGAAGTGAGATTTTATCCTAAGAAACCCCTGATCTAGCCATAGAGACCCTGCATTCACTTTCCAGAGGGGAAGTGTGGTTGACTATATATGGTAACACCAGACCAACCCATTTTAGTACTGGAAAACCCTTTAGATATAGGCCTATTGGCAACAGTAAATAAAACTTCAGGTGGGGTTGGGTTTAGTCATCAATGCTGTCTCCCTGACTGGGGCTATTTTTTAAAAATAGATGAATAAATTTTGTTTGGATAGACATTTCCCAAGAAGTCCACCTATAAAACAGCATCCCTGAAAAGTTTATAGTTTTGTTAATCAAAAGAAGTTATCAAGCAATATTAAGTGCTTTTACCATATGTCAAGTAATAAAATATTTATGAAATGCTTACAATGTTCTAGACACTGCCAAGCACTAGGGATAAAATAGATTTTATATATTTATAAATTTATATATAATATATAATAATTTGTATTTGCTCTTGAGTGCTTAACATTCTTATAGGGGGAAACTACACGTAAAAAGGGAAGAGGTCACTGAGGGGCACCTTGGAGTAGGCATGGTCAATGCAAAGTCCTTAGAAGCACAGCCCAGAGGGGAGTGAAGCATAGCCAAGCTAGGCACATCCCCAAAATGGAGGCTTTAAAAGCAGCAAATGGGAGAAAGTTGCCATGGCAGAGGGATTTTGGAGGGCACAAGAGCTCTGTGACTGAAGTAAGTTCTAGGGTGAAACAGCAGCTGAGCTGTGGTGGCATAGCTCTTGCAGAAATGTACCTTTTAATTTTGGTGATACACTGACATCAACAGTTATATTTGACCAGAGTCTTGTAGACCTCATTCTTGGCTTTATTTATATTGTTGTAATCACCTTTAGCATTGTACTTTGTTCTCTTTGTATCATTTCAGAGAAGTCTTCTCACTTTTCTCTGAATTCTTCCTGTTTGTCTTTTCTCAGTATTGTTATGTTAATAGGCCAAAGTTCATCCCCTGTTGGGAATTTGTTTCCAGATTTTTACAACAAATGGTAATATTTTTATACATATGAATCTTTTCTTGCTGTCAATGACCTCATTAGGGTATGTCAAATGATATGAATGACTGACTATTTTTAAAAAGATTTTATTTTTTTCCCAATTACATGTAAAAACAATTTTTAACGCTCTTTTTAGAGTTCTAAATTCTCTCCCTCTCTCCCCTTCTTCCCCTCCTCCCCCCATTTAGACGTCAAGCATTTGATATAGGTTATGTGTATGCGGTCATGCAAAACATATTTCCACATTCATCGTGTTGTGAAAGAAAACACAGACTAGAAAACAAAACAAAACATGAAAAAAATGAAGAAAGTAAAAAATAGTATGTTTCTATCTGCATTCAGACTTCATCAATTGTTACTCTGGAGATGGATAGCATTTTTCAACATAAGTCCTTTGGAATTGTGTTAGATCTTTGTATTGCTGAGAATAGCTAAATCATTTTCAGTGACTATTATTGCATAATTTCAAGTTGTTTTCCAAAATGGCTGAACCGATTCTCAACTCCACCAACAGCTAATAGCCCCACAGCCCTTGCATCAGTGGGTTTTCCTGGCTTTTAGCATCTTTGCTAAAAAGGTGTGAGATGTTTGATTTTTTTTTAGTGAATTTTTATTGATATCCTTTGTCTTTATATCACCTGTAATTCCCCCTTTATCCCTCTCTCTCTTCCTCTCTGAGGGTCCAAGACAGATATCCCCTATAACAAAGAATTAAAAAAAAAAGGAGAGGAAATAATTCAAGACCAATCAACATATGCAAAAAGTCCAATATCATGTGTGTTGTTCCATACTCAAGGACCCTCACCTCGGCAGAGGAGCCGGTGAAGGTATCCCCTCAGATCTCTCTGGAGACCAAGCTTGGTCATTATTTTGCAGCGTTGATTTTTTTCTTATTTTTAATTAAATACTTTCAGAAATGTTTTTTTATATCACCACAGTTTTCCCCATCATATCTCAAGCTCTACCTAAAAAGCCATTTCATATAATGGCTTTTTTTTTTCTTTTAAGAAAAAGGAGGGAAAAATCATCATAGCTGATCAATACCTCAAAAAACTCTGAAAATATATGCAATGTACAGCACTTGGAACCTCCCATCTCTGCAAGAGGTAGGATGGGAGCATCTTCTCATATCTCTTCCAGCCATTTTTGGTGTTTTTTTTTTATAATTTGCAACATTTGTTTTCAATGGTTTTGTGGTTGTTATTCTTTCCATTTATATTGTAGTCATTCTGTATGTTGTTTTCTTGGCTCTGCTTACTTCACATTGCATCTGTTTATGTGTCATCATATTCATTGTTTCTAGTAGCACAGTGGTAGTCCATTATATTCCTGCACTACAATTTGTTTAGCCATTCCTGCGAGGTGTTACTTTAATCTGTATTTTTCTGATTATGTTGTCAATTAGTATGAAAACTATTTATGTCCTTTGACCACTTGTTTTCTCTAGGTAGTGACTGGGTTCATTACATAGAGCAGTTAAAATTTTTCTCATAGTGAGGGTTATTTGGCATTAGGATTGAGAACCAAGGGAGACTGTAGTCTCCTTTAAACAAATAGCAATAACAAATGATGTTCCTGTCTGGGGTGGTTTAGGTATGGCCCTTGATGAAGACCCGGAGATGGACTAGATGAGTGCTTATGGTCCCTTCTTGGCAGTAGGATTCTATGGTCACTTTTGTGTACCCTGTATGCCACACAGGCTAGAGCCAAGTGAGATGAGCGCCTAAGCCAAAGCCATCAGGCTGCTTCTAGAACGCGTCAGCAGATGAGCTTATTGGCTTTCCCCCTGAGTGGCATTAGCTCTTACCCTGTCTCATGCTCACCATCTGGCTTTGAGTAAGAAGTCTTTGAGTGATCTCTCTTCAGTAGCTTACTCTGTGCCAGGGCTTTCTGAGGACTGTTGAGCTGTCTCCATCAGCCTAAGAGATTGGTGCTATCTAAAGAGAGGCAGCGTGAATTAAGGAGAAGGTGAAGGGGTCAGGGAAGCCTATTTTTGTGTCTATTCCATGTCTTCTCTTCCCATCCCCCTCACCCTTTCCAGCTTCTGACAATCAGGAATATTTTAGTCACTAGAAGAAGGCTGGGGGACCAAGGGAAAGGAAGAAGCCAGCCTCAAGGAAGGGAGGGTGAATAGAGGAGGTTAGGTTAGTGGATGAAAAGTCTATGTTTGCTGTGTAAGCTTCTAACAAACCAATCTGTCAATTGGTTTGACAAAAACCTGAGACAGATTTTTAAGATGAAACAGCTCCACCATAGAGAGCTCTGCCTCTGTGTGGACGATGTTTGCTCAGTTTTCCTCATTTAAGGATAGGAAAGGGAAAAAAAGAGCTAGGATTATTTTTCCTCGCTCCAAAGAAAAGCCTAGGGGTGGAGGTGACGTAAATAAAAATTCTCCATTCTCCGAAAGGGCTGTCTGCTCTCTCCTCCCAGGTTAATACATGTTGACTGGGGCTAAATGCCTGATGCTGCTGGACAGAGTCCAGGCTCTCAGCAGAGCATCCACACTGTAGTAATACAGCTGCTGGCATTAAAGGGCTAAGCCTTTTCCAGCTGCTTGCTTTAACAGGCGCTGCCTGCAGCTAGCAGCTTAAGGGAGCTGTCTAAACCCGATTAGGAGGAAATAACTAATCTTTTCATCTTCTGACAATGGTGCTGGAGGTCCTCTGGAAGATGACTTATGGGGTGGGTAGAGGCCAGCCTTTACCCTCTCACAAAGAGGGAGCTTTCCCAGAATCTGAGAATTGTGGTCCTAGCTAGCTTGGCTGGTTTTCTTACTTTTGTCCTGGAAAGCAGGGTTATCTGTTGTCTCTTCTGAGCAGAGCACTGCAGCAGATGGATTCCACATCAGGAAGGAGAGTGTGCTGAGCCAGCAGCTGAAGGCTGAAAAAGAAAGCTGTCCAAAGTAAGATATGGCCCAGGTAATTGGAAACTCTGACAGCTGAGGTGCCCGACAAGTGGAGACTGTATAGCTGGGGAACACTGGCACCCTCTGTTCATTTCCTTTAATAATAAGGCTAGAGCCCAGAAACCCTCCATTTGGGCTTGGTCTATGATCTGACCTCAGGTGAACTATGTTAAAATTTAATTATTTGTCTTTCCGTCTATTTTTTCCCCCTTCAGACAAGTGGTTGGCTATTCTCTGATTGGAAATCTCCATTGCTGGGGAAGCTCACTAAATGACAAAGCAGCCCATTCAATTTTTAGACAACTTTAATTAGAAAATTCTTCCCTATATTTAGCTTAAATCTCACACTGTGGCTTCTACCTTTTGATTCTCATTTTTCCCTTGGAGGTGAGACAGCAAATTCTGTCCTTTTTCCATTTGACAGTCTTTTAGATACTTTGAGATAAAGTCATGTTTCTCCCCCTCCTTCCAAAAAGAAACCTTTCCTAGGCTAAGCATCCCTAGTTTCTTCCATTAGTCTTCATATAAACATTGGTTTTCTTTGGACTCCTCTGCCCTGAGTTTCTCTTATTTTATGCAAGACCTGAGCATGAATTTAGGGTAAGATACAAGTATGATCTGATTAATGCAGAGCGTAATGGGACTATTTCACCTCCCACCTTTCTTGTTTTGAACCTTATATTAAGCCTAAGATTGTTAGCCTTTTTTCAACATCAGTGTTGACATACTGAACTAGTTTGTAGTCAATTGAAACCCTAAGATCTTTTTCAAATGACCTGCTGTTAAACAACTTCTTTTTTTTGGGGGGGGGGTAGGCAATGGGGTTAAGTGACTTGCCCAGGGTCACACAGCCTAGTAAGTGTTATGTGTCTGAGGCTGGATTTGAGCTCAGGTCCTCCTGAATCCAGGGCCGGTGCTCTATCTGCTGTCCTACCTAGCTGCCCCTAAACCACTTCTGACATCCTGGTTCTTTTGGATCAGACCTTTGATTTTCTTTGTGGAGGCAAATTCAAGTGAGGAAGCTCCCTTTATCAATGCAGATTAGCACCAGCTTTGCAGACTTAGAATATAACAGCCTTTCAGGAGTTTGGATGGAGATGGATTAAAGGTGGTGTTTCCACATTGTCATAGGTATGATGCTCAGTCCTCACACCATTCTGGGTGCCTTTCTCAGTGTCAGTTTCTTCTCTTCCGGAGGAGCTCTGGCCAGCAGGGCACTACCCTATCCTAATTGCCAAGTACCCTACTTGCCACTTTGGCTGTAACCTCACCCAATCTGTTTACCTTTGTTCTGGCATGAACTGGAATCTGGGGAGAGGGAGAGGAGTCCCAGAGAAAATTTCCCACAGTTCAGAAACATCTCCCCACCTAAACTTCACTTGCTTTGCAATTTTACGCATAGACTTTGTGGAAAATCCCCTCCTGAATTGCTTTTGCCATAGGTCGTCAACTCCTAGTGGGTGAAACAGGGGAGGGTATGGGTAGTATGGATTAGAATTTCAAACTTGTCATTAAATATTAGAATATGTTCAAACCTACTATTCCTCTTGAAGTTCAATCCTGAATAACCAACAACCTACTGGAGATCTCTCACTAGATGACCCCTCTGAAGTTCAAATTCAACCTATCAACAATGGAACTATTTTTCCCTTTAAGGCGTATAAGAGGAAGTCCTTTTTCAGATATCAAGTAAAAAACTTGCATTCTGAGAGAATAAACATTGGATGTAGAAGAATAAAGATAAAACTATTTAATCAGCAATAAAGATCAGTGTATCCATACTTGATCATATGAGTAGTAGGTAGTAGCATGGCTAGTCTAAACAGGAGTGTCTGAAGGGACATCTTTGTCCTTTTAAAAACCGATGTCATGGATACCATGCCCTTCATCGACGTTCTGCCATGCTAGTAGGCAGTACTTGGCTAAGTGAATCATTGGTTGACTCCATGTAGTAACTTGAGGAGGAGAAGATGGATTAAAGGAGGTGTTTCCACAGTGTCATAGGTACGATGCTCAGTGCTGTTCATTTGAGGTGACTTTCTCAATGTCAGTTTCTTCTTTTTAGAGGAGCTCTGGCCAATAGGGCCAATTACCCTAATTGCCAAGTATCCCACTTGCCATTTTGCCTGTAGCTATTATTTTCTTCTAAAAGAAATCAACACCTTGCATTTGGTTGTGTCCAAGGGCCTTACTTGATTGGAAGGCTCCAGGCAAGAGACCCCTCTTCCAACTATGGAGAAAAGAGAAAACTCAATCTCAAAGGCAATCCCAACTGCTTCTATAGGAAAGCAGGGGCATCTTCTATATAGCCTGGTGCCACCATCTGTTCCGCTCTTTGGCCTGTTCTCCCACTTAGAAGACATGGACAAATGAAGGGAGGACTTTTTCCTTAGGTCACAGGTCAGTCCATTTAGGTGGTCAGCCTTCCTGCCCCCCACCTCTTACTTACATAGGCTCACTGATTTGAGCTACTTGGCCTCCTTCCCCAATCCACTGTCTTTCTCCCCATTCCCTGATTCAGTTGGAGCTCTAAAACATCATTTTTCATTTCCTTCCTATTCTGCTCGTTAACGACAGCCTGTTAATTAAAGCCGCTGGACTCCCCACTCTTCCCACTCCTCATTCTTTCCCCTCCCCCCAGTTCTTTTGATAAATGCCAGTGGCTGCACCTCAACACAGATGCCTCTTGCTGAGAAGTGATTATAAGCCTCTACTGTGCTGACCCCCTGCAGCCCAAGGCAAGCATGACTTGAGCCACTGGTTCATCTTGTTTAGCCCCTGGCTTTTTCCTTCTTATTAGTAAGAGCTGGAACTAAACTATAGCTTCAGCTCATCTTTCTGTTCAGTGAGGTCAACTCACTTGGCCTGGTCTCTCTAGGTTCTCTAAAGCTGTTCTAGCTTTGGAAACTGAGGGACTAGAACATGTCCTCCCAATTCCCCACCTCCTCTGGTATCTCTCTGTTTACAACTCTGACCAGTCAGCCCAATTCATTTCTATAGTTCAGTCAAATCGTTTCAGTGTGAGCTTTTTTTTTTTAGGTCTGTCAGACTGTCAAATCTGAAAGGGACCTGTGGCAGGAGCAATATCTGTCACGTTAATTTTTCCTTAAAAGTTATTGAAACAGCCCTCTAGGCTTAATTGACTCAGAGGACTATGGCTCAGGCCATTGACTTAGCTCCTTGGTGGCTTAGGTACAAAGAGTCAGAAAAGCCAGGGAGTAAGTCAGCCCTCAGAAGGGCTACAGGCCCCAGTAGTGGCAGTGCTTGACCTAGCTTTGGGGAGGGAGGGAAGTGCTCAAGCCTTGATAGAGTGGACATTAGAGACCCAGCAGAATGGGCACTTAGATGGGTAAAGGTAGGAACCAATGGAACCTGTTGTTTACTATAATCTGAAACTGATGGGGTCCCTCCACACTGCTGCCAGTACAGTAACCAGGGGTCATTGGGCAACTTCCCAGGGAGTATCTGGAGGAGCAAGAGGTGCTGCATTTTTGGGAGATGACTTGCTTTCTATCATGAGAGGGAAAATGAAGCTGTTTACCCAGCTCATGCAGAAGGGGTGTGGATTGCAGTCTTTCAGCAGAGGTTTCTAAAGAGGAAAAGATTTGGTATTCTACCCTCTTCTGTGCCCCTACTCCCATAGGACCTCTGGCTGGTGGGCTGGGTAAGTGCACAGGTGAATTCTCAGTGTCTAATCTGGCAATGGAATAGGCTAAATACAAGAGGGTAATGATATCATAACCTTACTACAGATGACCCTGACCTGTGATGAGGGTCACTGACTGCTGGAAATGTCATCTGTGTTGTGCCTCTGGCATTCCTGATTCTGCTGCTTCTCAGTCACCGACCTACATTCAGAGGCCCATTGTGAACATCAAAGTTGGCATCACCTACCACATGGACCTGGAATTCTTCCTGGGAGGGGTTTGCAGGATAGGGTAGAAGGTCTAAAGCCTAGAATTTGTTGTGTTTGGTCCACTTTGTTATTCTCTCATTCCAGAGAGTTTGATTGGGGATGGGGGTGGGGGGGATAATCTTTGTTTTAATTTTTCTTTTCCAGTGCTGCCTATGTCAGACCAGGTATTTCTAAAATTAGGATTGTCTATTGACAGTCCTAAAACCATATAAGTGATAAGTGGATAGAGCACTGGCCCTGGATTCAGGAGGACCTGAGCTCAAATCTGGCCTCAGACACATAGCACTAGCTGTGTGACCCTGGGCAAGTCACTTAACTTCATTGCCTAGCCAAAAAAAAAAAAGTTAAAAGTCAAGTAATAGGCTGGGAAAATGAGCAAACAACAGAAAAAAAACTCAGGCTTTAGAAAGTTACTATGATGATGACAAGGAAGATCAAAACACACACTCAGAAGAAGACAAAGTCAAAGCTCCTACATCCAAAGCCTCCAAGAAAGATATGGATTAGTCTCAGGCCATGGAAGAGTTCAAAAAGGATTTTGAAAATCAAGTTAAGAGAGGTTAAGGAAAAGTTAGGAAGAGAAATGAGAGTGATGCAAGAAAATCATGAAAAACAAGTCAACTTGGTAATGGAGACACACAAAAAAAATACTGAAGAAAATAACACCTTAAAATAGTTTAGGCCAAATGGTAAAAGAGGTCCAAAAAGCCAATGAGGATAAGAATGCCTTAAAAAGCAGAACTGGTCAAATGGAAAAAGAGGTCCAAAAGCTCAATGAAGAAAATAATTCCCTTTTTTTAAAATATAAATTTATTTTTAGTTTTCAACATTTACTTCCACAAAATTTTGAGTTCCAAATTTTCACCCCATCTCCCTCCTCCCTCCACCCCAAGATGGAATGCATTCTGAATACCCCTTCCCATAGTCTGCCCTCTCTTCTATCTCCCCCCACCTTCTCTTATTCCCTTCCCCTTCTGTTTTCCTGTAGGGCAGGATAGACTTCTGTACCCCACTTCCTGTATTTCTTATTTCTCAGTTGCATAAGAAAACTTTTTTTTTTAAACATGTGTTTTTAAAACTTTTCTCCCTTCCTCCCT